GAACAAATACAGAGATCGTTTACGGCTCACATTGAGCCAGTAAAGCACCTAAACTACTGGGAATGCCTGCAGGTTTTGAACATGTACTCATTGGAGTGGAGGAGAGAGAGAGGTACATGATAATATAAACCTGGAAGGTGAACATCAAAATGGTATACAATACCGACAGGTTGTTAGGTAAGACACATATGTAGGCGAAACGTTTCGGAATAAAGTTGTCTAACTGTTGCATATGTGTCTTACCTAACATACCTGGAAGGTACTCGAGGGCTTGGTCCCAAATCTGCACACAGCCATAACAACATACTGGAGTGAGAGATATGGGAGGAAGTGTAAAATAAACCCAGTGAGGAGCAGGGGTACAGTGGGGACAATAAGGGAACACTGTATCAACATCCAGGGTCCCAGACTTTTCAACATCTTACCAGAAGATATCAGAAACACTGCTGGAACAAGTGTTGAAGCCTTCAAGAGGAAACTAGACAAGTATCTTCACCAGGTGTCAGATCAACCAGGCTGTGATGGATATGTGGGGCAGCAGGCCTCCAGCAGCAACAGCCTGGGTTGACCAGGCGAGCACCAGACGAGCCTGGCCCATGGCTGGGCTCAGAAAGTAAATATACAGTGGACCCCCGCTTAACGATCACCTCCAAATGCGACCAATTATGTAAGTGTATTTATGTAAGTGCGTTTGTACGTGTATGTTTGGGGGTCTGAAATGGACTAACGTACTTCACAATATTCCTTATGGGAAAAAATTCGGTCAGTACTGGCACCTGAACAAGCTTCTGGAATGAAAAAATATTGTTAACCGGGGGTCCACTGTACTCTCGAAATTCTTCAAAGGTATATCAAAGGTATGGATTAATGAAAATGTGTATATTAACGTAATATACGACATTTAAATGAGACTCGATGATTATTATTATCATTACTAATATGACGTCTCGAGACATAAGACACTCTTAATGATTTTAATGTGTACCTGCACGCCAGCACAGTATGTAAGTTTATTTAGGTACAGGTATACCTGGAGTTTACCTGGAGAGAGTTCCGGGGGTCAACGCCCCCGCGGCCCGGTCTGTGACCAGGCCTCCTGGTGGATCAGAGCCTGATCAACCAGGCTGTTGCTGCTGGCTGCACGCAAACCAACGTACGAGCCACAGCCCGGCTGGTCAGGAACTGACTTTAGGTGCTTGTCCAGTGCCAGCTTGAAGACTGCCAGGGGTCTGTTGGTAATCCCCCTTATGTATGCTGGGAGGCAGTTGAACAGTCTCAGGCCCCTGACACTTATTGTATGGTCTCTTAACGTGCTATTGACACCCCTGCTTTTCATTGGGGGGATGTTGCATCGTCTGCTAAGTCTTTTGCTTTCGTTGTGAGTGATTTTCGTGTGCAAGTTCGGTACTAGTCCCTCTAGGATTTTCCAGGTGTATATAATCATGTATCTCTCCCGCCTGCGTTCCAGGGAATACAGTTTTAGGAACCTCAAGTGCTCCCAGTAATTGAGGTGTTTTATCTCCGTTATGCGTGCCGTGAAGGTTCTCTGTACATTTTCTAGGTCAGCAATTTCACCTGCCTTGAAAGGTGCTGTTAGTGTGCAGCAATATTCCAGCCTAGATAGAACAAGTGACCTGAAGAGTGTCATCATGGGCTTGGCCTCCCTAGTTTTGAAGGTTCTCATTATCCATCCTGTCATTTTTCTAGCAGATGCGATTGATACAATGTTATGGTCCTTGAAGGTGAGATCCTCCGACATGATCATCCCAGGTCTTTGACGTTGGTGTTTCGCTCTATTTTGTGGCCAGAATTTGTTTTGTACTCTGATGAAGATTTAATTTCCTCGTGTTTACCATATCTGAGTAATTGAAATTTCTCATTGTTGAACTTCATTTTGTTTTCTGCAGCCCACTGAAAGATTCGGTTGATGTCCGCCTGGAACCTTGCAGTGTCTGCAATGGAAGACACTGTCATGCAGATTCGGGTGTCATCTGCAAAGGAAGACACGGTGCTGTGGCTGACATCCTTGTCTATGTCGGATATGATGATGAGGAACAAGATGGGAGCGAGTACTGTGCCTTGTGGAACAGAGCTTTTCACCGTAGCTGCCTCGGACTTTACTCTGTTGACGACTACTCTCTGTGTTCTGTTAGTGAGGAAATTATAGATCCATCGACCGACTTTTCCTGTTATTCCTTTAGCACGCATTTTGTGCGCTATTACGCCACGGTCACACAAAGCACATTACAGAGTGTGAACACTGAAACAAGCTGCCTCTTTCCAGTCTATATTTGTCCAACCTATTTTTATGTTACCCAAGTAATAGCTTTTATATCCTTTTACTCATGTACGAATTAATTGCTCTACCATATTGTATTACTTTTGTCACTACCACTACTACTACTACTACCACTAGTGAACATCGAAATGGTACCTCACTAGTATTGCACCTCACTCTGAGTCTTTATATACCCTCTGTGTCCATGTATTGTTTGTAATGGCTTGATAAAGCTCCTGGAGAGCAAAACATTGGCACATTAAATGTCACATTAGTTGCACTTGTGTCCTTTTACTAAAGATTAATTATAACCAGGGCCATTATAATAAGGGTCATTACAAGATTATAGCTATGGCCAATATAACATGCGTCATTATAACAAAGGCCATTATAACAAGATTATAACCAAGGCCATTATAACAAGGTTATCATAACTAGGGCCATTATCACAAAGGTTAAATCTCATTATAACAAGGGTCATTATAGCTAGCATGATTATAAAGGTCATAAGTCATAACAAGGGTCATATATAGCTAGCATGATTATAAGGGTCATTATAGCTAGAACCATTATAACCAGGGTCATTATAATAAGGGTCATTATAACAAGGGCAATTATAACAAGGGCCATTATAACAAGGGTCATTATAGCTAGGACCATAACACCTGAAGTATACCTGAAGAGGGTTTTGGGGATCAATGCCCCTGCAGCCTGGTCTGACCTGGCCTTGCGGTGGATCAGGGCTTCATCAACCAGGCTGTTACTGCTGGCTGCATGCAGACTGATGTATGAACCACAGCCAGGCTGATCAGGTATTGACTTTAGGTGCCTGTCCAGCACCTTCTTGAATACAGACAGGCATCTATTGGTAATCCCCCTTATGTATGATGGGAGGCAGTCAATGTCTTGGGCCCCTGACACTTATATGTATTGTGTTGTCTTTTAGCATACTTATAGCACACCTGGTTTTCATTGGGGGATGTTGTATCTCCTGCCCAGTCTTTCGCTTTCATAGGGAGTGATTTTTGTGTGCAAATTTGGGACTAGTCCCTCTAAGAAGATTTTCCAAGTGTACATTATCATACATCTTTTTTGCCTACATTCCAGGGAATAGAAATCGAGGGACTTCAACTGTTCCCCATAGTTTAGGTGCTTTGTCGTATTTATCTGTGCCATGAAAATTATCTGTACATTCTCCAGGTCTGCAATTTCACCTGCCTTGAAAGGGGTCATTAGTGTACAGCAATATTCCAGCCTAGAGAGAACAAGTGATTTGAAGAGAACCATCATGGGCTTGGAATCCCTAGTTTTGAAGGTTTTCATTATCCATCCTATCATTTTCTTAGCAAATGTGGAACACTGTTGTGATCTTTGAAAAGAGATCCTCATACACTATCACTCCAGGTCTTTCACATTAGTTTTTCTCACTACCGCATGGCTGGAATTTGTTTTATACTCAAATACTGTTAAATTTCCACATCAAAGTAATTGAAATTTCTTTTCAATGAACTTCACATTGTTTTCCATGGCCCATTTAACCCTTTCAGGGTCAGTGCCATACTTGTATGACTTGAGAGCCATGGTTGGTGCTGTACTTGTACGCGTAAATTCTAGCGAGAGAAAGCTGGTGGGCCTACATATGAAAGAATGGATCTGCATGGTTAGTATGCTCAGTATAAAAAAAATCCTGCAGCACACAATGCATAATGAGAAAAAAAACTCAGACTGTGTTTTTGGTTTAAAACAGCGACTTTGCAGTCTATTTTCGTATAGTATTTATGGTTGTATTCTCGTTTTCTTGGTCTCATTTGATAGAATGGAAGTTATATTACAGAAATGGAGATGATTTTGTTTGGTTTCACGATGGAAAGTACCTTGAAATTGAGCTCAAAATAGCGGAAATGTTCGATTTTTGCCAATGTTCAAGAGTAAATAAATCACGCTACGCATCCAATACACATCAATTGGCGAGTCTTATATTCTTTCACAAGGGCGCTGATATTATTTAAACTATTTTGACAATAATGCAGTAATTTGCATAACAGTAAATCTTTTATTTTTTGTGAGAATAAAAATTCAAAATGGAGACATGACTAATGAACAGAGAAAATGTTGTTTTATTGCTAGGAATGTCTATCTTGTTTATTCTGGACCCTATTTTGAAGTTGGCATCATTTGAAACTCGTGTGAAATTGGCCAAATTGCCAATTTCTGACCACTTTATTGGGTAGTTGAAATCAGTAAATGGGCGGTTTCTTGTACTCAATCGATAGAACAAATGGAGTTCTAGCAAAACAGTTATGATTTTAGTCGAGCATAATTCCATAAGTTTTCTATCAAATTTCATACTTTTGGTGTCATTACCACCGGAAAAAGATTCTCTATCATTTCAAAAGAAAAATAATTTTGTTTTTTTTCGACCCTGAGAACGTGTCCATGCTCCCTCTCCAGAGAATGATGAAGGCACGTGAAAGGGGCTTTATAACAAAGGTCATCATAACAAGGGTCATTAGAGCTAGGACCATTATAACATGGGCCATTGTAACAAAGGCCATTATAACAAGGGCCATTATAACAAAGGTCATTATAGCTAGGGCCATTATAACAAGGGCCACTATAACAAAGACCATTATAACAAGTGCCATTATAACAAGGAAACTACAATATGAAATAGGCAGTCTGTTATTTAAATATGAAAAATTAAGTGAAAATTAAAAGTTACCTTTTTATTTCTTATTTTAGTTGCTAATGCTGTGGCTGACTCCAGGAGGATGAGGTTGGTGATGGGAGGCAGGACTGTGGGTGAATCACCATAGTACATAATTCCAAAGATTACACTGGAAATTGCATCTAAAATCAGCCTCAGTGAACGTAGGATCAAGTTAGTCCACCACATCCTGTCAACTGAAGATTATAACATTTCACATGTGACATCTTTTCAGAAACATGAAGCAAATACTGTACAAAGAAAATGACAGTTTGAAAATATACAAATAAATAAATAAACACACACACACACTCATGTATGCCTGAATGCATGCATGCATGTATTTTTTGTTTCTTTTCAACAAGTCGGCCGTTTCCCACCGTGGCAGGGTGACCCAAAAAAAAAAAGAAAGAAAATCCCCAAAAAGAAAATACTTTCATCATCATTTAACACTTTCATCACACTCACACATTATCACTGTTTTTGCAGAGGTGCTCAGCATACAACAGTTTAGAAGCATATACGTATAAAGATACACAACATATCCCTCCAAACTGCCAATATCCCAAACCCCTCCTTTAAAGTGCAGGCATTGTACTTCCCATTTCCAGGACTCAAGTCCAACTATATGAAAATAACCGGTTTCTCTGAATCCCTTCACTAAATATTACCCTGCTCACACTCCAACAGATCGTCAGGTCCCAAGTACCATTCGTCTCCATTCACTCCTATCTAACACGCTCACGCACGCTTGCTGGAAGTCCAAGCCCCTCGCCCACAAAACCTCCTTTACCCCCTCTCTCCAACCCTTTCGAGGACGACCCCTACCCCGCCTTCCTTCTCCTATAGATTTATAAGCTTTCCATGTCATTCTACTTTGATCCATTCTCTCTAAATGACCAAACCACCTCAACAACCCCTCTTCAGCCCTCTGACTAATACTTCTATTAACTCCACACTTTTCCTAATTTCCACACTCCGAATTTTCTGCATAATATTTACACCACACATTGCCCTTAGACAGGACATCTCAACTGCCTCCAACCGTCTCCTCGCTGCTGCATTTACCACCCAAGCTTCACATCCATATAAGAGTGTTGGTACTACTATACTTTCATACATTCCCTTCTTTGCCTCCATAGATAACGTTTTTTGACTCCACATATACCTCAACGCACCACTCACCTTTTTTCCTTCATCAATTCTATGATTAACCTCATCCTTCATAAATCCATCTGCTGACACGTCAACTCCCAAGTATCTGAAAACATTCACTTCTTCCATACTTCTCCTCCCAAATTTGATATCCAATTTCTCTTTATCTAAATCATTTGATACCCTCATCACCTTACTCTTTTCTATGTTTACTTTCAACTTTCTACCTTTACACACACATTCCCAAACTCATCCACTAACCTTTGCAATTTTTCTTTAGAATCTCCCATAAGCACAGTATCATCAGCAAAAAGTAACTGTGTCAATTCCCATTTTGAATTTGATTCCCCATAATTTAATCCCACCTCTCTCCCGAACACCCTAGCATTTACTTCTTTTACAACCCCATCTATAAATATATTAAACAACCATGGTGACATTACACATCCCTGCATGTATATATGTATTTATTCACCCTGAGTGGTTCCAACATAGAGGCTATTACACATGAATGTCCCCTGGGTGCTAGTGATCACACGGTCCTGAGTTTCAAATAAGCTATGGAATTAACAATGGAAAGTGAAGCAGCATGGGAAGGAAGTGAGAAGCCAAACTTCAAAAAGAAGGAACTATATAGGCATGAGGCACTTCCTATATGAGGTGCAGTGGGAAAGAGAACCAGAGAAAGTGAATGAGATTCTGGAACATGTGGCCAAAAAGTGTAGGAAGGCAGAGTAGTAGTTCATACCCAGGGGTAGTATAAACACTGGAAAGACCAGAGTGAGCCCATGGTTTACCCAAAGGTGTAGAGGTGCCAAAGCAAAATGTGCTAGAGCATGGAAAAAGTATAGAAGGTGATATATAGTTAAATCAGGAGGAAAACAAGTCAGTGACCAGGTAATCAGGCTGAACAAGATAGGTGGGCAGTTCACAAGAAATGACCAGGAAGTCTGTCAAGAGCTCAGCATGAGATTTAGGGAGGTATTCTCAGAGGAGACAGAAAGGCTCACAGCAACCTGAGATGGGAGACTGCACTGGCAAGTGTTGGAAACAATACACACAACTAAGGAGAAGGTGAAGGAACTACTATGTGAATTCGATACCTCAAAGGTATCTAATTCACACAGCAGTGGGACCAGATAATATCTTTCTGTGGGTCCTGAGAGAGGGAGCAGAGGCACTGTGTGTGCCATTAACAACAATCTTCAACAAGTCTATCAAAACTGGGCAATTGCCAGAGGGGTGGAAGATAGCAAAAATAGTCACAACTTTAAAGAAAGGAGACAGACAGGCAGCATTAACCCTTTGGGGGTTTCGGCCGTACTAGTACAGCTTACGCACCAGGGTTTTTGACGTACTAGTACGCATAAATTCTAGTGCCCTCAAATCTAGCAAGAGAAAGCTGGTAGGCCTACATATGAAAGAATGGGTCTATGTGGTCAGTGTGTGCAGTATAAAAAAAATCCTGCAACACACAGTGCGTAATGAGAAAAAAAAAATTTGACCGTGTTTTTGGATTAAAACAGCGACTTTGCACTGTATTTATGTATGGTATTTATTATTGTATTCTAGTTTTCTTGGTCTCATTTTATAGAATGGAAGACATATTACAGAAATTGAGATGATTTTGACTGGTTTTACAATGAAAAGTACCTTGAAATTGAGCTCAAAGTAGCAGAAATGTTCGATTTTTACCAAAGTTCAAAAGTAAACAAATCATGCTAAGCGTCCAATACACATCAACTGGCGAGTCTAATATTCTTTCACAAGTGTGCCGAAATTATTTATACCATTTCTACACTAATGCAGTAGTCTGCATAACAGTAAATCTTATTTTGTTTGTGAGAATAAAAAATCAAAGTGGGAAGCAAAAGAAATGTAAGAGGGGCCTGGAGACGTGACTAATGAACAGAGGAAATGTTATTTTAGTGCCAGGAATGTCTTTCTGAACCCTATTTGGAAATTGGCATCTTTTGAAATTTGTGTGAAATTGGCAAAATTGCTAAATTCTGACCAATTTATTGGATAGTTGAAATCGGTAAATGGGTGGTTTCTTGTACTCATTCGATAGAAAAAATGGAGTTCTAGCGAAATAGTTATGATTTTTGTCGACTAGTACACTGGAATTGGCTGAAAATAGGGCTCAAAGTGGGCAAAATCGCCGATGTGTAAACATCGTTGAGACCACTAACTTCGCGAGAGCATAATTCCGTAAGTTTTCCATCAAATTTCATACTTTTGGTGTCATTATGATCAGGAAAAGATTCTTTATCCTTTCATAAGAAAAAATAATTTTTTTTTTAAACTTTGGCAACCATGAGAATAAGTCTCTAAGAGGGCCTGGCAACCCCCAAAGGGTTAAGCTACAGACCAGTGTAACTGATATGTAAAGTTATGGATAAGATTATCACAGGAAAAGTGGTGGAGCACCTAGAAAGAAATGGGTTCATACATGACAACTAGCACAGTTTCAGGGATGGAAAATCCTGTGTCATAAACCTACTGAGTTCTATGATAAGGGGACAGAAGACAGGAGAGAGATGAGCAGATTGCATTTTCTTGGACTGTAAGAAGGCTTTTGTCAGAACTGCACAAGATTGGTACAAAAGCTAGATAAGCAGGCAGGAATAACAGGAAAACCACTGTAATGAATCAGGGAATACCTGACAGGAAGGAAACAACAAGTGATGGTCCATGACGAGGTATAAGAATGAGTGCATGTGATAAGCAGGGTTCCTAGGGCTAGTGCTGTTTCTTACAAAAGTAAATGACATGACAGAAGGGATGTAGTCAGAGGTATCCCCGTTTGAAGATGATGTGACACTAATAAGGAGAATACAAGTAGATGTGGACCAGGAAAGGCTACAAAAAATCTGAAGTGCAAAGTTATGAAGTTTAGGGAAGGACAAAGACTGCTATCAGAGTTCAGGCTCAGAGAGCAAAGGCTGCAAACCTCACTCAAGGAGAGGAGCCTTGAGAAGTGCACAACCAAATTACTGCTGCAGCATATGATCATCTGGCAAATCTAAGAATAGCATTTCAACAACTAAGTAAGGAGTCCTTCACAACACTATACACCATGTATGTCAGGCCCATATTGAAGTATGCAGCATCAGCATGAAACCTACACCTGGTCAAGCACACATCAGAAACTTCAAGAAGGTGCAGAGGTTTGCCACAAGACTAGTCCCAGAGCTATGGGGTATAATGTAGTACAGCCTCTCCTCACTTAGCGACGAACTCATTTACTGACGACTCGGACTTTATGATGGATTCTCTCAGTGTGCATACCTAAATAATGTTCATTAGAGCTGATTTCCTCTATTCTGTTTATTATAATATACAATACACTACTGTATAAACATTTAAAAATACACCAAAAATGTTATAAATGGTGCAAGGGTGACATTAGAGCAATATCAAACATAGCTGACATAAACCCACTACCATTATACAGTGGACCCCCGCATAGCGACTTTAATCCGTGCAAGAGGGCTGATTGTTATGCGAAATGTTCGGTATGCGAATGAATTTTCCCCATAAGAAATAATGGAAATCAAATTAATCCGTGCAAGACACCCAAAAGTATGAAAAAAAAAATTTTACCACATGAAATATACATTTTCCTACACACAAAGAGAAGGATACATGCACAATAGTAGAGTAGTACATGCACAATATATATTGTGCATGTACTACTCTACTAAATGAAGAATAAATGACACTTACCTTTACTGAAGATGCAGCAATGACTGATGAGACACTGTGTCCTGGGAGTGTCTTTTCCTCCTGAGTACTGTAGGTCCTGTTTGGCATTTTCTTCCAGAACAGGCCTTATCACACTGTGTATGCCACTACGATTCTTAAATCTCTCAAACCAACCTTTGCTGACTTTTAAATTCACCAATATGAGCACTAGTTCCAGGCATTTTTCCCTGTTCACACCTGGGTGTTAGTCGACTGGTGTGGGTTGCATCCTGGGAGACAAGATTAAGGACCCCAATGGAAATAAGTTAGACAGTCTTCGATGACACTGACTTTT